GAACTCACCTTGTGCTGAGTGCTTGGGCTCTGTGCTGTTGCAAACCCTCTTACTGGGCCCTTCAGCCACTGGTTCATCAGCCTCTTCTTCTGCAGCATGATAAAGAAAAGACATTTTAAACTCTATCCACGTTTTAGACAGGATTAAGGGAAATGTTCCTGTGACATTTCCTGTAGGAACTTGAGGAAAGCTGGGGCTCAGATGATCAGTCATTACTTCCAACAATAACTTGAGCTGACAATTTTTCCATGCAACAGCAGGAAACAGAAGAGTTCCTTCATTGTTTTGATTTTACTATTTGAATCACCCTCATGACTGTAAAACTATCCCACAAAGTTTAACAATTCACTTACTTAAAAAACCCTCACAGCACACCTAATCTTTAACTTTTTGCAGGATTAGAAAGGCTGTTCCAGTTTGTGCTGCAGTAGGTTTGCTGCTTCATGGTGAAATATTTAGTCATAAGGGAATTTACATTTTGGACAAATAGATTGTGTCTTCCCTCTTCTCCCCCAAAAAGGTATCTCCAAGTAATTCAAGAGTTGAAACCATTTCTTTCAGATGCTTTGAAACATCTTTCATCTCTCCCTGCTAAAATCCCCAATGTCTTTCTCATTTCTGCTGGCTGCCCAGGGCAATGCTGTGGAGAAGGAGAACACAAAGCCCCACAGGCCACTGTCTCCAGAAATAAGTGACAGCTGTGCCACCAAACTGTACCTGGATGTGTTGTTGTCATGGTGCTGTTGTCGAATTTGGCCGTGCAGGTCAGCTCTGTGTCTTTGGTCACATTGACCACTTTAATTGCATTGTACAACCCCTCTGATGTCAAAATGGATCTGCTCTGTTCATATACGACCTCCTTAGAGGGCATCTCCAAGCTGATGCTCTTTGTCTGAATATTCCTTGCCAAACAAGCTGCTTTCCCAGGGCTGCCACCTTCTTCCAGTTTCTTTGATTTCATCACAATGACTTGAGGGTTGGAAGTATTGGAAATATCTGTAACGAAAAGCATGATTTGGACAGGATTGATTTAATTGCAGGCTTTCCCAATGACCGAAAATTCACATTTGCTCTAGCTGTGAGTAATTTGTAGCTTTATCAATCATTACCTTTTTGTGGTCTGTGTTTTTTGCTGCTTTTTCTAAAATATCATGTTAAAGCCAGGAAGGGAGAAATATTTTATGGGAGATTTAATGCTATTGCAGCTTCCTTTTGCCAAAGTTTTTATTTGTAAGCGAACCCTTGATTTTATAAGGGACCTACAAACAAGAAAGGAACTTTTATGAATGCCACTCCAAGAGTCCATTGATTCTGCTTTCTCAAAAATTTAATTCCAAAATATAACAATTATAACTGGGTTTCCTTGCATATTCATTAAAATTAAATGAACTCTGTTTTTTCTTTTACTCTCCCTCCCAGACACCTAACAGAAATGGAACATCCATTGACTTAGTTTGACTGGTTTAGCTGAACCCAAACTCTTTAGCACAATTTAGTAAGATTAAACTAGTACAGTAATCTTGCATACGATTTTATTTTATGCTCTTGTACATTACCCTTCTCTGCTCTCAGTGTTGTGTTTTTAACTGTGACACAATAGATACTCTAGGAACTTATATGTGAATTTTCACAGACATTTCTATTTGGACTGTTCAAGCCTGGCTTATAACCCAACAATGACTTATGAAAATCTTAGTAAGAAGCCTGAATAAGTGGATAGATATATGTCCCACAGAAATTCAGAATGATAGTAGACAGAACTTCTCTTGTGGAGTTCAAGTTCTTTGGCAACACTGAGAAGTTAGATTAGAATATTTTTACATATAAATTGTCTAGTTGCATGCAAAAGATTGCACATAGGAAGTCTAATTAGGCACTGAAAAACATGAATGAGTGTCTGCATGAATTTTAGGGTGAATCAAATATTAAAAGAGGGGAAAAATGAAAGAGTAACAACTCAGAAAATGGTAATGTATAAAGGATACCTACTTGGCTCCACGGTCAGTTGAGTTCCGTTTCCAAAGACAAGTGCAGCAGTAACACACAGTTAAAATGCATGAATCAAAAAGGGCTCCTTTTGCCATTCTTGCTATACACATTTCCTTCCCAGGTGTTGTACCACGGCTGCCCAGAGCCTGTCAGTCCTGTGCATTCTGTGTTCTCTGAGAAGACCTTGAAAGGCTTTTCATGTGGTCTCCTCTCCAGGCTTTCCAAACAGCCAGAATACAAACAAGCAGCTTCTCTGCAAGAGCTCCCTGCAAGAAATCAAGCTCATCAGCAAGAAATCATGTACACGGTGCAATTGTAGTTCAGAGAGCAGAAGATTCGTTTATTCTGAGTCTAGTAGACTCACAGGAGTCCCACTAGTTTGCATTTTGTGACAATCCAGCCATGAATTCCTACCACTGCTTGCTTCTGGAAGGGTTTTGTGTTTTATGTTCTGAACATTTATTTGGACAAAAAGCTGTACTTCTCCTTCACTTTATAAAGCCACAGGACGAGCCCTCTGTTCTAAAAAGTAATGGGCCTTAGCATTCTTAGTGATTGTTTAATCTGAAATAATCCAACCCAAACCAAAAGGAAAAATCTTCTCTGTCCTAAACTGAGCACATAACAGAATATGCCTGGAGTACTCCACAGTGACACTAATGGTTGTTATTTTATGTAATTGTGATTTGAGGAATTTGCAAAAGATTGGATAGTAAAGTATTTGTGCTCTAAACACCTTAACATGCCTATTAGTAGCTCCCAGAGGAATTCAAAACAAAAAGGGAGAGGTTGCTCACATCCTGGAAATGCTGGCTTCAACTTATTAAGAATTTCAGCAGAGTTGAAAGGGACCTCGATACTTAAAGTTCAACATTTTTCTGTCAAACAAAATGCCAGAGTCTCAGTGCAGCTCTGAAAATATCCTGTCTTTAGCTAGAAAACACTGAACAGCATGGAAAAGAAGAACTTTGCTTGGGGTGACATGCACCTTTATTGTACAGGCTTGAAAGCCTGGCTGGAGTGAGAGTGCACTCACGGGAATATTGCAGATGAAAATCCTTACAGTGAACCTACATCTTTAAATCCCTTTTTTCACCTCCACCCCAATTTTAAATGAAATTTCAGAAATAAAGGAATGTGACTTACTTGGTAGAACTGTGAGAGTCGTTCCTGGTTCAAATATAAGCTTATCTGTGCTCACACTGCTAAGACTCATTCCAATAACTCACTCGTTCCTCATGGTGTTCAAAAGTGTTTTAAAACAGGAGATGAAAAGCCAAATATTAGTCCTAATTATCCACGGGTACAAGTCCATGAGATTATCCAGAGGTAGATTTACTTCCAAAACAGGAAAGGAAAAAAAAAGTTAATTGAATAGTTCAATAATTTCAAATACCTTGATTGATTGAGTATCAGAATTTTCAACTTCCCCCTTTCTTCCACCTTTTAGAAGCCCCATGAGCTCTTTTATGTATCCAGGATAAAAGCAAATATAGAAAGAATATTCTACTTCTCTTCTTAATAATTGCAGTCATCCGTCTCCTTTTTTCCCCAAAATATCTCACATTTTTTCCCTCCTTTTGTTTTTGTACAGGTCCCTATGCTGTTTATATCATTGTGGTACTCCGGCCCCGGTACACAGTGATCTATTTCCTTGTAAAAACTGCCTCTGTTCCACTACACAGAATTCTGGATTATACAGACAGTCACATGACTTCTTCAGTGGTTTTACACCCAAAATACCACCCGAAGAAACTATATGGCTTTCAAGGAAGGATCTAAAATTGTATCTGAAATCTTGAGTTTCAACTGAGAACTTGGGGATTACATGACACCTCTGAAAAGTCTGATGGAGTTAAGCTGGATAGAAATCAGGAAAATTATCAGTTTGTTACTTCAAAACATTTCTGAAAAATCTTCTGACTTGCAGCAAGCTGTCCACTCTTTCCCCTTTGTTTCAGTGCTCAGAAGCAGGAGGAATGTGCCCTCTGGGCTCTTAGAATTCGTGCCTGGGGGTCATTTAGTACCTGAGAAAGTCTTTATGGCATTTTAAGAAAGAGGAGAAAGTAGGCAAAATGATTGTTCTTTGTTGTGTAGAGGTACAGAAACCTTGGGAGTGAGGGTCAAAGAGTGAAGGAGGTGTTGCACATTGACCAAATCCTTCATGATATTCAACTTCTGTATCATAATGGCCAGAGGCACACTCAACTTCTGAGACTCTGCAGTTTCAAGAGCACATCCTGGCCTTTTGTAACAAAGGACAGGCTCGTTGAGTCTGTGCCTATCAGGACATGTTGGTACAAAACTGGTGAGGAATAATATGAACAGGACAGGCTTCAAAAAATGAAAAACCAAAGGTCTGAAAGGGGTACACTGTGAGAGTATGCACACACATGAGGAATACCTGTGGGGAAAAAGAAAATTTTCTGGGCTTCTGGGAAATTCCCAAGGCTGTGTGCCTTTACAGTGCTTGTGCAGAAACACACGGAGTAGGGGAGCAAACATGAGACATCAGAGCTCCAGCAGTCTGTGCAGGGCAATGACATCATGGACAGCAGAGAGAAGTGGTGGGACAGTTGACGTGACCCAGGAAGGGAAATGTGTGGTGCAGTGCAGGTCAGGGCACATGGCCTGGGGCCCTCTCCAAGAGAGGATCCTGGGTTGAGTTGGGCTGGGTTGGGTTGGGTTGGGTTGGATTGAATTGTGTTGTGTTGGGTTGTGTTGGGTTGAATTGGGCTCAGTTGTGTTGTGCTGTGTTGTGTTGGGTTGTGTAGGGTTGTGTTGTGTTGTGTTGTGTTGTGTTGGGTTGGATTGGGTTGGAAGGGCCCATAAAGATCATCCACTTCCAATTCCTTTGACATAGGCAGGGACACCTTCCACTATGCCAGGTTGCTCCAAGGACAGTCCATCTTGGCCTTGGACACTTCAGGGATGGGGATGCTCTGACCAATATGTACCAGAGCATCACCAGTCCCACAGCCCAGAATTTCTTCCCAATATTCCATCTAACTCTGCCCTCTGGCAGTGGGAAGCCATTCTGCCATGTCCTGTTACTCCAGGCACTTTTCCAAAGTCCCTCCCCAGCTCACTTGGAGCCCCTTAGGCATTGGAAGGGGCTCTGAGGTCTCCCCAGAACTTTCTCCTCTGCAGGCTGGACACCCCCAGCTCTCTCATCTTTGAGTTCTAACTCTGTGGGCTGGAGGCAGAGCTGTGGGATCATGGAAATGTGGTGGGAGACCTTCCAGGAGCACTGTAGTGACTGAAGCCAGGCTTCAGGGAGGACAGGATGGGAAGGCAAGGAGTGGGCATTGTCCTTTCTCTGAGAGAACAGCTGGAATTTGTGCTTTGGGATGTGCAATGAGCCAGCTGACAACAGAAGGGTCAGGATTAGAGGCCACATCATCAGCAGGGACACTGGTGGGTGGCTACTACACATCAGCTGATGGGGAAGGAAAAGGCAAGTCCAAATGGGACATTCCTGGGCTCCAGTCCTCATGGGATGCATTTGGGTACTCATTTGTTCAACTGGAGCTGGTGATCAAATGTCTAAAATGATCTGTATGCAAGAGCCGAGATCTCAGGGTGAATGGTGAAGAAATTGGTCTTGGAAAAATAAGAAGGTTTTCCTGCTATTTGAGTAATTCCAGGAATCTAATTGGTGTATGTGCACAGAGTTGTCTGAGGAAAAATAGATGGGGTGGGGCCACCATGTTTCCCCCTTCAAGAGAAAGGAGGGAGACAGTTTGTGTGTGGTGGTTCAGTTGTTTTCAGTCACTGTGGTACGTAGTTCACACTGTGCTACACAGTTCTACAAAAACAGTTAGGGGTCTTTTCAGTGCCACGTGATGTCTTCTCTTTCATGCCTTTGAAGTGCTGGCTTTTATTTTCCTCTACATTGTTCTACTTCTGAACATTTAATACTGCTCCAGAGGATGCTCTACACAAAAAATAACACCTGATTATGGATGCTTTGGAGACACTACAGGTGATCACAGAAAAGTAGATACTGAAGGTGAAACAGTAAGTCACTGTCCATCCACTATGGACAGGATAGCTAAAACAGTGATTTGAAGTGAGCTGGAATATCTCCTTGTGGAAATCCCTGGGCTGCTGACACCTACAAGAAAAGAGGGAGGTGACAGAAGAAATCAAGTGTTATCATCTTTGTGTTTGTCACTTTTGGCAATGCTGTGTTGAATGGCTCTGACATTAATCCACTACAGCAATTCTTCTGTTAAGCCAAAAGTGGGAATTGGGGCAAAGCCTGGGGACAACTGCCTGACCCTCCAGCATCTGTAGCTCCTGGATGGGATGCCTTGGGCACTGTGCTCAGGAACACAAGCCCAGGCATGCATTTGCACAGGTCTCCTTATGCCTTCCATGAAGGCTTTCAGGGACCCAGAGCTGGGAGTGCAGAGAAGGAATTTTTCATCATGTCCTGGGAAAGTCCATCTTAGCAGTGCAGTTCCTGGTGCAGTGCCACTCTTTCCTCAGATACAATTAATTGACTATTGTCATGTATTCCTGCAATGTTATTGTGAGACTGCCTAAACATCATGAGGTATCCAAATGTGGTTAAGTTCTGCCTTTCCATATAAAAACTGCAGCTCTTTCAGTGCTCATTGTATTTCTTTTTCACAATTTAAGCACCAATGGTAACTAGGTACCACATGGGTGCTTGCTCTTTTTCCCCTTCTTAGATGGGACAGAAAATTGGTGAGAAAGTAACTTGAGAGTTTAAGAAGTGAAGCAAACACTGCATGTGTGAGCAAAGCAAAACAAGGAATAAATCAGCTACTTCCCATCTACAGCCAAGAGTTCAACCTATTCCAGAAAAGCAGACATCCATCACACTTAATGGTTACATGGAAATACAAATGCCATCACTCAATATCCATCCTTTCCTTCCTCTTCCCCATCTTTATATGCTGAGCATGATGTCCTATGGCCTGGAACACGCCTTTGGTCAGTTGTGGTCAGCTGTTCCCTCCCAAATTTAGTGCACCCTCAGCTACTCACTGGTGGGTGGAATGAGGAGCAGAAGAGGCCCTGACTCCATGTAAGCACTGCTCAGCCATAAGTCAAATATCCCTGAATTACCAAAGCTTTTCCCAGCACTGATTCAAAACATAGTCTCATTCTTGCTACTATGAAGAAAATTAACTCTACTCAAACCAAAACCATCACATTCTTTAAAAAAAAAAAGCCACCCTCTTTCCCTGGTTCTTTCTGCCTGTGGGAGATATTGAGAAGGAAGGAGTTAACAACACATTAATGGTTTGGGGTTTGCTTGTGAGAGACTGCTGTTGTTACTGATGTAGCATTTCTGCATCCGTTTCTGCAAAAGACAGCCCAGATTAGTCTTGAGAAGTCTGGGAAGAGCCTTGCCTTCCAGCAACCACAAAAGATCTGGCTAGATTAAAGCCCCTCCTTCCAATTCTGCGCCAGCCCTGCCTGCGTTTCAAGCACTGTGCCCTTTTCAAGTTCTCTCATGGTGCAGAAATAGGTGGCTGTGTCTGCAGCTGTTGGCGAGAGCAGTTGCAGCCACAGCTGGTTCCTGGAGGGGTCTGCAGAGCTGTTGACTCGGGTCTGGAAGGGTGAAGCGATGTGCTGGAGCCGTGTGAAAGGATACTGCATCACTAAGTGCTGCAGCTCTTTGCCAGGAGTCTGCCGGATCCAGTCCCACGCATAGCTGCTGTCGGTGATGGCTACACCAGAGATGTGACAGGTGAGCGAGACAGACTCCGAGATCTTCCCTACTGTAGGGCCTGAGGCCTCTGTCTTCACCTGAGAAAGGCAACCTGCAGCCCCAGGAGACAAGGATAAACAAGCAGCAACAGTTTAAGTAATCAATCTACTCCACTATGTCCCTGTGGTTCTGCTTGTGATGTCCAAGATTCAGCAGCTGCAGATCCATCTGCTCAAAAAACCCTTGCTCCCTGAAGCTTCTCAGATCTGGGAGGGACAGTCTTCTCCATTCTCCCACTGAGCTTCCAAATGACCCTCTAGCATTCCCCATTTCCACTGCTCACCCCTCAGGCAGCAAAACCCATGGGCTGGACTGAGTGGACATGAGTTGTACCCAAAACCATAGCAGGACTATTCATACACCACACCATTTGGACCGGGTACCTGTAATACTGAAAACCAAAGGAAACAGGAAAATTGCCTCAAAGCTGAAGCAATGAGAAGTAAATTGGCATGACATGGGAAGAAGATAATCATAAAGATTAGACCTTATTTGGGGACACCAAAAAATAGGATGTCCCTGTTAGAATCAAACATTGTAAAACTGTGCTGTGTCTACGTGACTCTTTCAGAGCAACCTTGAATATGTGGGCAACTTCCAGCTTCACGGCAGGGAGCTGGGATGCTGACAGGAGGTTTGTGTTCAATCTCAGCTGCATTTTGTATCTCTGTGCGAACAGCACAGAAGTAGCGGGCACAGTCCCCGGCATGGAGGAGGTGCAGGCTGAGAGATGCCACAGAGTGGGAATTGTCCCTGGAGGCTGTGGCTCGACCTTTTACTGCTGACCCAAACTGAATTTGTGATGAGTAATGGCTTATCCAGGAAACCCATTCGAATCTGCCTCTGGGTGCCTGACGGTACCAGCGAACATAATGATTCTCAAAGGTGAATCCGGATCCGTGGCAGGAGAGGGTGACGGAGTCCCCGGGCGCTCGCAGCCCTCCGCCGGCCTCCTGCAGCCTCAGCTGTGCCCAGAGCCCTGCGGAGGGAGAGCGCAGGAATCGGGCAGGGCGCGACCACGGACCGAGGGCGCTGTCCCGGGCTCCCGGTGTCCACGGCCCGTCGCACTGTGAAAAAACCCGTCCTCCTCCTCACCCCCAACATCTGTATCTGCCCATGTCCCTGCTCCTGCTTCTCCCTGTTACTGTTGCTGTCGCTCTCCGTGTCGCTGTCTCTGTCCCTTCTCCCTATCCCTGTCCTTGTCAGTGTCCCTGTCCCTGTGCTTCTCCGTGTCCCTGTCGCTGTCCCTGCCCCTGCAGCTGTCGCTGTCCTTTTCCCCGTCCCTGTCCCACTCCCTGTCCCTGTCGCTACTCCTATCCCTTTCCCTGTCTCTGTCCCTCTCCCTGTCCCTGTTCTTTCCCTTGGCCTACTGCTCGCCGTTGCTGTCCCCGTCCCTTTCCCTGTTCCAGTTCCTGTCCCTGTCTCTGTCGCTGTCCCTCCTTCCCCAGGCCCGCTCGCTGCCCTCCCCGCCCGGCTCTCACCTGCCGGCCACAAGGCCAAGGCCAAGGCCAGCAGCCCCGGCCCCAGCCCGGCCGCCATCGTGCCCGGCCCCGGCTCCGCGGCAGCCGCACAGGAGCCGAGCGGAGCCGCGCTCGGGCCGCTCCCGCCCGGCCCCGCCTCGCCGGGGCAGCGCCGGCGCCTCTGCCCGGCCCCGACACACCCGCCCCGGGCCCCGGGCCCTGCCCCGGGCAGGAGCAGCGCCGGCCACGCCCGGGCCGCGGACACAAAGCGGCGCTGCGAGCTTGGGCAGCGCCTTCTGCCAAAGGGACCCGAGCGCTTCGTGCCCAACGCGCCCAGAAATTCGCCCTCGGAGCACACAAGGTCGCTGCCGTGCGCGGCTGCCTTGGGCAAAATGCTGCCGGCAGCTGAGGGAGGTGATGGCTCCTCTCTCCTCGGCACTGCTGAGGCCGCACCTGAGTACTGCGGACACGGCTTCACTCCCCCTAGAAGAGGGAGTTGGATCTACTGGAGAGAGGCCACTGGAGTGCCATGACGATGATAATGGCACTGGAGGAATCTCTTGCATGAGGAAAGGCTGAAAGAGCTTGGACTGTTTTCCATGGAGAAGAGAAAACCTGAGTTCGGGGAGGGGAACATGTTCCCTCATCAATGTATAGAAATACAGATAGGTTTAAACCATAGAATAGTATGTATTGGAAGTGAAATTTAAAGGTCATCTAGTCCAGCCCTCCTGCTATAATCATGGATATCTGCAAGTTGATCAGGCTGCTCAAGCCCTGCCGAATTTCTTTTCAGGCTTGGAGCAGATACAATTTCTCGGTACCATCCTTTCCATCACCCTAAATTTAAACAATTTTTTCCTTTTTTTGCATCTACCTTCTTTTTGTGTCACACTCTTACCCTTTGCCAAATAACTGCAGGCCATGTAAAAAAGTCTGTTCCCATGTTTCTCTGAAGTCCTCTTTGTATAAGTGAGGCATCTTCAAAACTCAGCCCTTCTATGATCCTGTGAAAGGCTCTCAGGCACACTCATGTCTATGCAGTTGATGTGGGCCAGGGAGAAAACTCACTTTGCCACCTCAGTCAGTTGTTTGTCACCTCAGCATGAACACAAGGACGCTGAGCAGAGAATCACAAAGGGAATTTATTATTTGATACTTTAGCTAAGCACTCGGCTGTGCCCTCGCTTAGTCCATGGCAGATCCTTCTCCAGAGAAAAGCAGGGAAGTCAGTGCTGAAAGCACAACTGAATGAAGAATGCACAACATCCACTTTCTCCTCACCCACCAAGTCCTTTTGTCTCACTGTAGAAGGCTGTAAATGTGGCTAAGCACAATTCCCTCTTCCCAAAGCTGTGCTGACTGTCCCTGAGGAAGGAGGGCTGAGAGGTTCTCCATGGGCCAGAGCAGAGATAACCGTGATGTGCACAGTGAAGAGCATGCAGGCTGTCCCTCTGCAGACCATGGCAATTGATGGAGGAGCAGATGCTGACCCTGCAGACAGTGCAGGACCCCACAGAGGAGCAAGTGGATAAGGCCTGAAAAAACCTGTGAGTCCATGGAGAGCTCCCATTGGAGCAGGCTCCTGACAGGAGCTGTGCTGCCATGCAGTGAGTAGCCCAGAACAGATGAGGTTTTCTGACAGAGCCTGTGTCCCACAGAGGAGCCACAGTGCCATAGCCTGTTCCTGAAGGGCTGCACCCCATGGAAAGAACCCTCTGGGATGGAGGACTTTGTGAGGAACTGCAGGCAGAGAGAAGAACCTGCATTGAAGAAGTTCCTGGGGAAAAGGGTTGGACTCCACACTGATTAAGGGGAAGAGATTGAGAAGGAAGAAATGACAGAGAAAACGTTTTGAACTGATTGCAAGCCACATTTTCCATCCCCGTGCAGTGATCTAGTGGAGGAGATGTTTCATATTTGTTCTTATTTCTCATTAACTTACTCTGATTTAATCAGCAATTACTTCAATTAATTTCTCCAAGCTCCTGTAACAGTGCTTGCTGAGCACCTGGAGGACAACCAAAGTCAACTCACCACACCTTCTCAACTCCTCCTTCCTCATCAGGTGCTCTGTAGCAGCCACCCAGAGCACACTCATCCCTGCTCACCTGGCTTTGCTAAACAGCCTGGCTCCATCCACCACAGCACTCTGGCAGCTACAGCAACACATCTGCATCATCCCATGGCTCTGCTCTGCAGCCAAGGCACAGAGGAAAAATGAGGCTGTGCTGGACAGGAGCCCAGGCAACGTGCACTAAACCTGCACTTGCCCAAAGAGCCTGGGCAGTTGCCACAACAGATCCTCCTGCACCAGAAATGGTGCCAGCCCTTCTCCCAGCCCTCCCTCCACTGCCTTTTAGTGCCACCAAGCCAGAGGGATGTTTCCTGCACCTGCCATTGCCTGACAAGAGCCCTGGGGACCAGCTGCTAGACAGAAATGCTGTGACATCTGTCTTCTCCATCTGTCAGTTTTTGATCCATTCTGATACAGAGCTGCTCCAGGGTGATTCTTGCTCCACAGTAATACATTGCTGCATCCCCTTGCTTTGCTGCCAGGATCTGCAGTGTGGTCAAGGAGTTCTCCACAAATCCCACAAACTGTTCTTGGAAACCTTCTCCGTAGATACCACCCTCCGTGTAAATACATTTGAGAGAGCCATGTGGGCCCTGACGGTACCAATACATTAAATACATCCACATGCGAAATTCCTTCAGGCTGCACTGGATGGTGACTTCATCTCCCTCTCGCACAGTCAGTTCCCTGGGGTGCTGCTCCAAGATGTCTGCACCAGCGAACGAGATGGCTTCAGAGAGCAAGAACAAGCCACAGTCACTCCAAGATTCAGCAAAGATGAGGACAATGCTGGTGGGGCTTTGGACTGGCACTGGACCCGTGG